TGAACGCATCAGTAACGGTTGTTGGATATTGCAAAATTCAGTGCGTCTAGTTCCAAATGAGCTGCTCCAGTATTTGCATCGACAGTTGTTACGCTTCCTTCGCTCTTGTTGCTGATCTATTGCGAAATTGTGTTCAGGATACGTTATTTATTAGATCCCTGTGTGACATATTTAGAATATTTATACGGAACACTTATTTATGTCTGTAGTTATATGTACACACACGATATGTTGTAAATATAACTAGAATATAAGAATGAAATTATATTCACATAATGTCATTCATTATAAGTAAGCAATAAACATTGCAACATGTACATATAGACGTATGCACATATGTATGAAATGCGTATACTCCCAGGCAGACAGCTCCATAAAGAACATTTGCTGTTTATTGGTTAAAGAGCTATACACATAGTTGTTTACTATGAGGATTTATTTATACACAGTTATACATACATACATATATATACATATATATCGATGTACTTGCAAATTTGCTATTCTGGGAGGAAATCCGTGAATATGTATCTACGCACAGATATTGGTGAAATGTTCGATTCAGATATTTTTACATCAGTATTCTACAATTTGTAATGTAGATTGACGTTGAGTTTGAAAGGATGCATCAAACTGGATTGATTCGACGAATATTTAAATGACGACAATCTGAATTTCAATTGAGTAGGATGGTAGCGCAGTCAGACATCTCGTGCTGGTTTTACCCAAGACTAGAGAAGCACATGCTTTCTCTTTTCACTTGACCCAGTGCATAATATGTAGGATTCTACTTAAGCAGACTGTCTTAAAACATTCATCTCAATGTTTGGGCATTTTACCTCTTTATTGTGCTGTATCGCCCACAGAATTGCTAATAAGTTCTCGAAAATTAGGTTGGACACGAGAATAGACGGCTAGAAAATGCTTATGTGGCATTGTATTTTAATCGTAACCGAAAATATTTGTTATTCGAATCTTACAGTAAATTAATTGATTGATTGTGATAACCGGCTAAATATTTTATTTTGCAACAGTAATCTAAAATTGAATTAATAAAAATGCTGAAAGACCAAAAGAATACGATCCAGTCTGTTTTTAGCCGCTCGTTAAAGTCTTTGGAACTTGAGCGAGTACTGAAGAGTGTTTTGATGTCAGTAATGCATCATCAACATGACATGCCCTGCGTGTCCCACAGACAAGAATATCTCAACCCTTCATTCCTTGTTCAACATCGAGATCGATTTTCACCTTTTTGATTTGAGCCCAGCAGGCAACCAACCAAACTGGCACCGACCGACCGACGGATGAGCTTGGAGGATGTTCTGCCGACAACTAGGCCAACAACCAAGCTGGATCATGTCGAAGAGGAAAAGAAAACAGGAGCAGGAGACGAAACTTCATTTCTACTTGGGGCTCATTGGGATTCTTGGCTTCAATCGTCCAAGCAAACTTTCTCTGATTTCATAAACCATCTGTCGCTCCACGGACGACGTACGTATGTATGAACCCTAAGACAGAGATTCATTCACCTTCCTTGCTTCAATCATAGGCAGCAGTCTTCGCCTCACAAGATTTATCGTTTCCATATCGCGGAAGAACATCAATTTCTTTACTCTCATCCCGTTTGTATCGTGCGATCAACAAATCTCAATATTCAACCAGAGCATGTTTTCCAATCTGTGTGCAAGATTGAATGGAGAAACCTATGTGTAATACCATAGTAAAAATGCTTGTTGGAATGAAAATGCCAACTTTACGAACAGTTTAATTGAGTTGAAATTGCACTGGGCACTTTTGTTGACAACTTTTATTGTATAAATAATATGTATTGATTGATGGAGTATATTTAGAATAAAATCATTCCTATATAGCTGTCATTGAGTCAATATGTACTACGGCAAGCTGCGTTTTACTTGCAACTTGCTAGAGGCAGGCAGAAGGTAATAAAATATTTACAAATAATATCTAAAACGGTATATTTTTAGCTTAGCTTATGTGTAATTAATTGAGAAATTGGAGATTTGCCGAGTTGAGATAAAAATACGACTTTATTGATTTTAAAGAGGTAGTTGGTTCTCGTCTCGTCATTTAAAAGGTTACAACAGAATTGGAGTCCATGACTTCCCTCGTGGCTCACACTCATTAGCCTGATTAACTCAACCAACAACTTTCATCATCGTGTGCCAATACACTTTACAGATTGGAAGGAAGGGAAACCGCCGGGACCCAGGATGATAACGTAGTCAATTAAGCTGCAGTAAAACGCTCAAAGACGGTAAAATTGTTGATTATCATGTGCCAGCAACAATAGTCTTCTGTAGTGCGTACTTGGATCAAGTTATGCCCTGATATAAAATTTATACGGCGAGGAAAGCAATCTCACTACGGCCAGGTGACTTTGTTTCATCAAGATTAGTCGTGGTAGATAGGACGAGAAATTTTAGTATCGTATCAAATTTGTATCTTGCTTCGTCAGGGATGTGGGAGTACCATAAGTTTTCGTATAATTTGAAAATTTTGAAGACTCCACAGGCCGCCTGCTGTTATTCAATCAAATTCTCATTTGGCAAGTCGATCACTTCTTATAGTTTGCCCCGTTAACAAGCATTAATCAATCCTGACATTTTGGTCTTAATCATATTGCCCATATTATACAATTTGCCATTCCATGCAAAATTTCGTATGGTTTCACAGTAATGGGGCATATAATTATTCTCTGCATTTGAAAACTTGTATAATAAACCCAATTACTAATCTTCATTACCTTCCATTCATCATTTTAGAAAGGGCAAAACTTATTTTTATTTTTCAGTGCCACAAAATCAACAGTGTAGCTATATAGAAAGGATTGACTAGAAATTGGTAAAAATTCGTTGGAATTTGGAAACTGTGCATTGATAATTTCTTATAATTTCTTCCTAAAAGTAGAGCATTCAGAATAAATACGTACATGACTGATACATAAATCCTTCTTCATTAGAATTGGTGCGTATGTACGTGAAGCAGTTTAATTCTGCGTTCAATCTACTCTGGAAATTTCGAATTAGCAAATTAGATTTATTTGCTCGGCAGGGTGTAAAATATTTAGAACACACCATCATCGCCCTGTTGGGTTTGTTATACGTATGTTGTGCTGTTGACTGACTAGAGTTACAATAATATGAGAGAATTCCATGGCAGGAGGCAATTTCCGTTTAAATTGCATTAGGGATTTGGCTACGCGACAGTTTGACCATTTTATGACACGATTATACTAAATTCGAATTCGAATTCACTTACCCGCTCTATTTCTAATTTTAAGCTGTTAACAAGAGGCGTTGCTGGTGTCGGGATGTAAATTCCAGCACGTTGCTTGAGAAGGTACGAAAACATGCATCATCATCATCACCACCATCATCGTCCGTGTGAGATTGACGGACTTCCATGCGGATGCTGCATTGCTCACATTTCTAATTTGCAAAGTAACTCATAGGAGCTCCCAAGTCATTCCTGGGTGTGATGTGATTGAATCCCGAACTGAGCAGACAAGCCAAACGACGACCTCGTTCACTTTCACTTTGATTTCATTGGGCTGATGTAAGCCAGGATGAGCCTTGACGTGTGACAACAATCCAGTGGAAATAATTTCAATCCGCATATTCATTTTCCAAGAGCATTGGTACCAGATGGGAGTCGATCCACCAACCCCAGACCAATCCCACGAGCGGACTTATTCCTTGGCGAGAAATGAAACAAGTCAGCCTTCAGACGGACTTGACTTCTTCTTGTTTATCCCTATTTGCATGTTAACTCACTTCATTTTATTCAGGATGGTGGACGCCTTCTTGTGGTGGTGGTGGTGGTGGTGATGTGGGGTGGCTGGATGGTGTAGAATTGTTGGGAGAAATCAAATTGCACCGAGCAGAATTTATTTTAAAATGGACAAGTCTCACTCACACAGAGAGACCAACTGCCTCAGATATTTACAATGTGGAAGAACATGATTTGGCTCGAACCAAATCCTACAAATTTGGTTCAGCTGTGCTATTCCTTCTTCAAATCTTCCGAGACCTCATCGCCATTGAAGTCTCATCCAAAAGACCTTAAGGATCACTAAGCTTCCAAACCAACCAACCAAATTCCATGAAGCAGTATGTAGGATGAACATTGTGAAGAAATGTTAGCAAGTTGGTTGATCCGAAGAGAAAGCCAACTTCTTGTGAGAGACTTCAGACTTGAGACACAACCAAACTCTGCAAAATGACAGCTCGCCTGCTACGTGTCTACTTAAACTGTATGGTCCAAAATAAGTAATACCTCTAGAGAATTTTAACTTGACGCAATTTCTGTTGGTCGAGTGCATATTTGTTGCATATGAATTTTCATACTCTAACCCCGAAACATACGTATTACCTATTCTGCCAAACACACCATGACTTTGTTGGTGAGACATGGTAAAGGGCGAGGTGAGAAATTATGCCTACCTCACTCACGAACCAAAGCATCTGTACTACATTCATGCTACAAAGCAACAACTGCATGTTGATTAATAATTATTAGGTACATACATAAATGTAACGCGTTCAGCAGCGCTCAAACACGCCATTATATCGACGATCATCCGTCGCACAACATGCACGATGAAAGGAAAGTTGACGGGATTGGCTTGGCAAACTATTAGCAAAAGAAGACCAGATGGACAGAAGTGAAGTCAAAGTCTGGCGCAGGAGTGTGTACTACAAGCAGGACTTTTGAAAGGGAATTTAACACTCATTGCTTTCTCCATCAGCCAGCAGCACCGCAGATCTGGTGGCCCCATAAGGTGGAATATTCAGCTCTCGACTACCACCACCAGTGCTACTCCTGCGAATGTTGGAAATATCCTCCCTTCGCTCCCTGTCCTATCTGATGCCACGTTCTGCTTAGCCTGCTCTGGCGTTTTGCACAAGTCGAGTGAGAGAGAAAGCGAGGCGAGGAGTGGGACGAGTGAGACTCCGAAGTGTTTAGTTGCTTCGCAGCTTTCACTCAAGTCAGCCACTTCCACGTTCCATCTACTCGACATCTAGCACGGCATATCTCAGATATTGCACTCGGGAGCTGAAAGGCCTGTTCAATAACAGTTTGCGTCTGATTTCCTATCTCTCTCTCACTCTCTAAACAGTGCTAAATGCAGTAAGCAGGACTTGCAAACCAAAGTGGGATAATACGTGCTTCTTCACAACTTCTTCACATAGCTGAAATAAGATATCGAGTAAAATAATTAACCGAGAATCCTCATCTATATAAATACGGAGTGGAAGGCCAACGGAAAACAACAACAACAAAGGATCCCAGTAAATACGCAGATTAATTAGAAATCATAATTTAGTAGACAAATAAATTTAGTAAATAAACCAAGTCATCCCCCTTGATATACATACGTAAGAACTTGTTAGTCAATTCGTTAATTTGTTGGTTCAATAGGTGAATTTTAACCTGTAACTCTTGTGTATCGCACTTCTCATTAAAAATTAAGGTAAATTCATATCCATTGTTTGAAGAGTTGAATGGTGACGACGTGTCATTCGGGTTCATCTCGCTTTCCTTTATCACGATTGACAGCACCCGAGTTTCATCCCCTCTCGCGTCGCGTAGGGGTAAAGTGAAGTGAATGAAAACAATCAACTCTGCGAAGCAGAATAAAAAATATCCAATTCAACGAGTAAAAATAAGAAGTGTCCTGCTCAAATTGGATCCAAGGGGAATGCCAAAGAAGACAATACAGACCAGCAAAATTGGACTCGCAATTCAATAAATGATATCCGCCACCGTCAGTACTACGAATTCTGTCATAATCATCTCCTCTGAACGGCACTGCTTGTTTGCCAACCCAACAAAAAGTCATGCCTTCTTCCCTCACACCCACGTTACTCTGGATTTCGTGATTCAACAATAAGGACACAACAATCCATGCACTGTTCCTGGTACGTTTTTGGCATTGATCTTCTGCCAGCTTTATTATTACTTGTCTGCGTAGTCATTTGGGTATTGGTAAGAAGATTAGGGCGAAGGACGAGCTATAAGTCTTAGAGATACGATTCAATTGACATTGATGTCTCATTTGGTTCAAACTATTCGAGTTTATCATGTGGCAATAACAGTCAACAGACTTCTATGCAAGAGTAGACTGCAGGGGAGATGTGGAGGATGAGTGCTTCCCTAAAATAGGGAAGCACTCTCATCTTTTCCACGTAAATACAATTCTCATCTTACGTAATAACTCCAGCTAAGCCCATTTCATTGTAGATTCTCCTACCAAATCTTAAGTCAAAGTCATAAAATACGAAAATGTACACAGTAGTGAGGAAATAATATGTTCAATCATCGATTGAGCCATCATAAAGGACGTAACACAATAGACTAACTCTAAATCCGTATTCCAAGATCGTCAGCACAATCGCACGACATCACACAGTCAACAATGCAACGGAGTTTAGCCAAAGGAAAGCCGATTTCCGTCACTCCACTTTCACTGCCATTTCACCCAACCAAACGCTTCAGAAGGCTGATTACTGCATTTATGTTAACGTCAGCATCGAGTTAAGTCGAATGATTTGAGTTAAAACTTTGGCTCTCACAAATGACAAATCTACATATGTAAAGTAAATATGTAGGTACATATGTGCTTATGTATAAACATCCCCGTCTGCATATTTAGTCATTTCCAAGCTTGAACTATCTGCTGTTTGTTAATGCTAGTCTGAAATACGCCAGCCAACTATGCTAAATATGCAGGAGCAAAAGTGAATGCATCCTTTAAATAAATGTAGCAACATTGTCACTCTTTACAAAAGTTGAACAAGGCCAAGAAGAAGAAAGTGGAATGACGTGACGGAAGGTCCAAGTTTATCAGACTGTCTCCAAGACATTCATCAAACAAAGGGTGATTCTCTACTGCTCTTTTTCCCACTGGATTTCCTACACTTTGCTCCTTTTAATTCCCTAAATTCCTTTTACTTGTTCCTTCCTCCACTCAAAACTTGGATTCTGATTTCCTTCAACAACTGTGACAATGGAACAATTAGTTGTCGGCCGCCTGACGATTTTTGCTTTCCTATAACAAGTTATCATACGGAAAAGAGCACGTTGCATTTATGGGGATGGATAGAAAGTAAAAAAAGAAGTAAAAAAGTAGATAGTTAGTTTGCCATAAGGATAAGGACGTAGACGTACATGGTGAAAATGATGATAATATGCACAGTATTGGGATGGGAAGATGATGGCCGTTGGAAGTATATACGTATGAACACAGTTGGAAGTGAGGGGCGACCGACGCCACGACTTTTTCTCTTATCAAGTGACTCCAATTCCAGAACCAACAATTCTAGCGAGCTCCTCTTAATTTGCGAAGGAAGTGAGAGCAAAAGAAACTCATTTCCAGTCCCACCGGCCGTTCTTTAAAACTTCAGTCGAGAAAAAGTTTGTGTTGTTTGAAAGTTGATGGAAAAATGTTTTCGTTGGGGTGGCGGAAGGCAAGGAGAGAGAAAGCAGCCCGTTATCTTTCCTCGTGATGAGGAGTGCGGTGAAGAGAACGGAAGGAAGTGTCGTCGTCATTGACTTGTAAAACAATAACGGATGAGTCAGAGTTTAGAGAATATTATCAAATTACCACAAGTGAATCTTAGAGTCAGGAGGCTCCCGTGTGATGATGGAGTATGTACCTCCTCATAAATACGCCTGAAAAAGTTAGCAGCCACCGTGCTAGATAACCAGTATCAAGCTTACGTACATATATTTAGAAATAATTGTATGGATTATCGAGCGGTTTCTAGGCCTCCGTGTGCATGCTGGGAATGGAATGCACAGTGCGAGTGGTGTGAGCGAAGGAAATTCCGAAATTAGCATTTGAGCTTTTCCACAAATACTGAGGGCACCCCTTCCATGGGCATGAAATTGTTCATTCATTCCTTAATTTTCATTACATTAACCACACTCCAGTTACTCGGGGCTTGAGGAGAGAAAGTGTGGGTGTGTTGGTGCACTTCGCCATCGAAATTGTCCGGTTTTCAATTTTATTCCGCTGTTTCTCTTCGCTTAAGGCTTCTTTGACTAGCGGGATGAGATGAATATATAGCTTGTAAAGCTAATTGGTCTGCATCACAGCAGGAGTCGTGTGCGTTTTACAAGGCTGTATCCTCCGTAATACTCACTCACTCTCTCTTTTCTCTCGAGTTCTCCACAGGATGTTTGTTTACTTTGCCTTTACTCTCATGTTTTCAATGTGGAAAATTTAAGTGCAAACGTACCTTTGCCCTCGGATAGCGCACAGTTGGCATTTTGACAAATACATCTTGTTTCGTTTCAAAATATTGCATGAAAGCAAAAACAATACTTCAAAGGTTTTCTCATCATCATCATCATCACCATCATCATTGCCATCAAAATAGAACACCTCCTCGTTCTCACCCCTGTAACGTGTTGCTCAACTCCTGATGTGAGTGTCATGTGGACAGTTCCACTTGAATTACCACACCCACTCACTTGCCAGCCGAGATGGTTATTACTGGCAATAAGGAAAGTATTTGGAAAAGTCAACACGTGATATTCTCAATGATCAAATATGTAAAGAAAAGTGAATGAAAGCGATAAAAAATAGTACTCGTTGTGACTGTACATAATTAGCAGCGATACATGCAAATATGCAAATACTACTTTCACTCATGTCATTTTCGCAATAAATTGCATTACGTTCCTAAGAGTGTTCTCTAAAATGATTTTTATTTCTGTGTTACAGATTAAGACAGTTTCCTCAGCCCTCCACAACCAAGTTCTTGAAAAGCAAAGCCCTCCTCTTGTAACTGACAAACAGACGTAAACTGAGCTATAAAATTAGATTCGACCACAAAGGAACAAAAATAAAATTAATATTTCAAAGTGATCCAACAAAGGCAGATGCAGACGACTTTCTCCAAACATAAAGTGGTGTAGTTTGCCATACTGAAACGACAACTGTTGTAAGTCCAGCACTCTACTTGACCAGCAGAGTATATGTAATCGTGGAACATTGACACAAGTCCCACAACACACATTTGAACCCACTTTCACCAGAGGAAGAATTGAACAGTTGATTCAATTTTGATTGCCCAAGTCCACACTCGAGTTCATTATTTAAGACTCTGACAGACGACGAGACCAAGTTGCTATCAGCATTAAGACATCCAACTCAAAAACTTTTGCATTCAATTCCATCCAACCCCGTTTGATATTTGGTTGCTTTGCTTTGGTGTATTCAAAGCAGAGGCAGACATTTCTTTGTAAATTCATTTAACTTTCTCCGCACTCATTGGAACGGAGTTGTCTCGTGTTTCTCTCATATCCTGCTTGACGATCCTATCCGTCTCCTTCCAAGACAGCTAGACAACAGACTCCACATATTTACAAGAAGTAGTAAAATAAACTCATATAATAAAAATAAAGTTACTGGAATGACCCAGAAAGTAAGAACATTGAAGGAGTAACGACCACCTCAAACAGCCGAGAGCTCTGCCACAACGGAGAAAACAAGTTTTTTAACGACTATCCATCATCTTATTCGACGCGTGTGTAGTTTTGTGGGGCATAAAGTGAACTACTACATACTCAGCCAGAGTAACAAGGCGAGAGTGAGTACTTCATACTAAGTTCATGTTTTCATGCTTTCTCCGCTGCAAAAAACAGACCAGGCAACCAACGAGTGCTGCTCATAACCAAACCAAATCAAAGGATCTACCTACACTTGTTCTCCATCCACCTAACAAACCAAGCACAACACAGTTTTCCAGTCCATGTATGTGTATGTTGCTTGAGACAGGAGAGAGATTCATTTTACTCACTCAGAAGCAGCAGCGGAGATAAAAATCTTGGAAAGGACACGCACGCTGCTAACCTTGTCGTGCTTTTCCCACACTGAAAGTGCCATACAGTTGACTGTGTGCTTTGTTCCTCAAGAGAAATTTATTCTGTGGTCCCATCCACCACTGCTACACAGACACATACACACGTACTTATGTATATACGCCAAGTACATGCTACTGGGTGGCCAGGAAAGAAGGGCTGCGTTGAATGAATGAGTGAGAGTGCAAGTGAAAGTGCTTTCTTAACAAACCAAGAAAAGCACATACATCCGACAAACATTCAACCTCTGCTGCATTCCTTGAAACCACTCGTAGAACCAGAACCTCCACCGCTAACTCGCCACTTTTCACTTTGACGGTTCTCAACTTCAATCCAGAAATCGAAAGTCTTTCGTTGGGCCACTGCTCAACTGACTCGAGAAGAAGAGACAAAGTTATTTTATTGCGGGGGGTGGTCCTTGTGGTGTCGAGTGGTGGAGTGGCAGGACAAAATACACATTACACATCAGCGCACAAAGAATTGAGGCGTTTTGGCTTGAATGACCTCCGATTCCTTCAGCTCACCAAACTTTGAGGGATATTTGGAAGAGGGGAGAGTGATATCATTGTCCTAGGAATTGTTCGAACGTAAACTAGGACGGACAAAGGTTATTGGGTGTAGGGAATAAATACTCTGACTGAACTCGTAATCCGTACCCTCCTCCGCCCGCCCGCCCGCCGCTTGGGAACAAAGTTAAGTAGTGAGTGTGGAGAAAGTACATCTGGGCCAGTTGGACTCAACTTGTTTCGTGTCGTCCTGACACTACGGATCCTGGCTCAGAGTTGTGGGGACAGATTCGACAGATACATTCGAATAGATATTTGTATCAATATCGTTGAAAGGACGTGAGCTTGCACCCATTACTTTTTTGCAGCATCTCTCTCTTGCTCTGGGATCTCGTACATACTGCTTCGAACAGTGAAAGATACAGTGCGAGATAAGTGGGGACAGCTGAGAAGAACGCCAGAGAGAAGACAATATTCAATACCCAACACACACACACACACACACATCACAGTCGGCAGCAGCAGCAGCAGCAGAAGCAACCCATTGACATTGGAGAAATTCCTCTCGGCTTTTCTCATCCTTGGTTGCTGGGTCAAATACCAGAAGCCAGAAGCGAGTGCTGTTGCAGAGTTATATATTTAGTGGCCGCGCAGTCAGTCACAAAGAACCACGGGAGAATTATATCGTCTTTCTCCAGCCTTATATTTAATAGAAAAAGTCAGACGACGAGCAAATACGAGAAGACGACACTACCACCACGACCAGTTCTCTCTAAACTCTTTCTTGGCTCGTACATATTGGTCTGGACAACAAAAGAAAAATTGTGCAGCACAAAAGAGCCAGAAATGAACTCATCCATCACCTCCGGCATCCTATAACTAAACACTCTTCGGCCCATTGAGATAGTTTAGCAAGCTTTTTCCATTTCTATATCTCCTCCAGTTCTCTGGTTCTGTTTCTTAATGTGATGGCTGAAGCGGTCACAGAGTGGAGTGAGCACAAGTAGAAGCCCGAGCAGAAGGAAAACGAACCATGTGGGTCACTCGGTCGTCGATCCAATCCCACCATTGTTTGTTTTTCTTCCCATTCTTCCGCATTTCTCTAAATGAATTAAATTCCCGAGCCTTGTGTTGATTAAACTGTGTTGTCCAACAACCACCTCCTCGCCATCAGTCCAATAACACTAGCCACAGTCCAACTGACATAAACCGACATTACATTTCCTTCCCCCCGCAAAGAAAGGGTTCTGATTTCGTCAATTGACCATTTAACTCTACACGTCACCCTGAATACCAGATTGTTGATGTTGATTGTAGTTTCCATAAAAGGAGCAGGAAAACTTTTATCAGTGAGTGGAGCTGAATGAACAAAAAACATTTCCCATTTCAGACGGATAGTTCCAACAAAAAATAATCTATTAACTTTATTACCTTTCTTCCCAAAGTAAAAAAAAGCCGAATCTAAATGAACACGACGACAACTACGATGATGATTGGAATTGCCCATTGGCCTACATTTCCTCTTTTGTGAGCCTTCTTTCTCTGGTAGTGTAATATTACAAGCCACCGAGAAGATTGATAGGATACTTGATTCCCATGTCATTTCGAGTCTCAATTGTATAAATGAGCGTTGACGTACTATACTGTTTCTGGTAATTCCTATTAAACTGATTGATGTGAACAGATGCTGAGCACTGCATACAGTGCAAGGGAGACAATACAGTGAAAGAACAGTGGATAACTATTTTCTTCCAATTTTGATTGAATTGGATTATTTGGTTGAGTGAACCACCTCAAGGATTCGTATACATTTACAATGCCAGGAAGCAAGTTGGTGTCCCGAGGGACGGCGTATTTCGCTGTGATTTCCACCCTAAATCTCCTCATTATTATGGCTGCCATTGCCAATGACGGTAAGCGGATTGATTAATTTTATATTATGCTGAATAATTACTTGCGACTTTGACAACTCATGGGAAAATTTGTCTCGCCATGACTAGATTTGTGACTTTTTAAAAATTATAACGAAATTTGACGTATGTATTACAAGTATGCTAATTTTCTTATCCACTTTCTTGTCTTAATTTGTTCTACCGTATTCATCAAGCAGCCAATACGTTCATAAATATCAATGGAACAATATGCACGTCTTAGCGAGAGATATACGTAATAAGTGCGCAGGGTTTGAGCATGGTCCTGCTTTTACTTTACTTCAGTTTTTACTTTTACTTCAAAAACGTACTTTTACTCATCGCTGGTTGGAGTATTCGTTCAACCACAATGTTGGCAGAAGGTTATCCAGTGAGGATCTTGTTAAAATAGTTTAGTTTCACAGTTCTTACAGACATATGCAAGGCGGGTGAAATGTTGAATTAATATGGGATCTGGAGAAAAGATGCTCCAGAGAATGTGTTAGCTCAACTTTCTCCCTGCAGATTCGTCTACATTACACTCTCGTTCGGACTGCTCTTATATCCCCAACTAAAATATTCCGTATATTCCATTGCTCATTTTATCCTTTCATCTGCACCTAATTCGGATAGATTGAGGCGACCACACCACCCGCGCCAATTAAAGGAAACCTACATCCCTCTTCTTACGACTTGCGTGAATATGCAACAACACTTTCTTTGAAGGCTTAACCTTAAAATAATATATTAACACTATGGACTGATACATGGGTTATGTCAGCTAAAAATCACAATTTAAATAGTACATACATACAATACGTAAACATTCTGCTGGGTTGCAAGTCGGTTGCGAGTGCGTGACACTGCTCTAAATAAATAACGTAGCAAAAATTGTGACAGTCTGCATAAAGTAATGCAATGCAAATTACTTTTCAACTGTGGAAAAGCACTCCCGGTCGCAGTGTAGAAATTATTTCCTTGACACAAATGTGACTTTCGACATAGAAAAGAGAGAAACAAGTGTCTGGGATGAAGGGCAGACACAAAATCATTACACTACGCACAGTTAGTAGGGCATTGCATATACATAAAATTTGGTACGAAAAAGTGAATTGAATTGAAAGCGGAAGAAGATGTTGACCATGGAACTTTTGAGAAAACGAGCGGGTTGGGAATTGTGCTTTGTGTCTGCACGTCCTCAGAATTTTCTTTCACAACACGACAGCTCAAAATTGGAAGGAGTGCAGCAGGGAAAGTGACTTTTGTCCTCTGTGCTAGAGACACACATGGACTTGAATACCTCTTACTCCCACTTTCCAAAGTTGGTCGAATGCATTTTTTAAAACGGTCACATTGCGCAAAACCGAATATATACATATGTAGAACAAAGTTAGATTCAGTCGCACGTATAAATAGGAAAGCCAAAAAACTTGTTTTGGCTTAACGACAATGAATGGTCCCACCCAGAAACAAATACGAGCAATTTGTACAGTGTGTCTCAACCGTTTTTCATTTCCTTTACAGCTACTTTTTTCATATGTAGTCGCTCTCGAGGATGAGAAACTAGGGTTGCTATAAAATACTACAAACTATAAAATACTGCAGGATTTAGCTTGCACTCTTTTGACCTGAAATAGGTAATCTTTATGTGGCAAAACCAAGTTGTATAGTTCTAAAGTTCAACACCCACTTATTTACGATTAGCTGACTTCACATCTCGTATGAAGTATTTTGATGCAAGATTTTATGCAAGCCGACCTGGTTGATTCATAAAAAGTTATGATTTTAAATTGTGACAATGTAGTAAATTAGTGTAGCTTTAAAGGGACCGAATAAACAAGTATAAGCAATTTGAATATCCACATGTGTATAAATATGCATCGTTCAACGTTATCGCTACCATATTCACGTGGAAGAAGAGGAAATGACCTTATTAAATTAGCACAATGCATTAGTATAATGCGGGTCGCTTTTTGTTGGAAAGGTCGTGTACATGTGATCCTTTAATGGTTGTGGCATTTCTAAAAGGCACAACTCTTAAGAAATTACCATATTGCCGTATAGCACGAAGAAAGTGCGCCCAGACGATATGCGAGCTGGTGCATATGTATATTCGTGCCAGACTTATTTTAGTGTTCATTTTATATAAACGCTACCTAAAATTGTACAATTGTACAATTGAGTCTCATTTCACTTTATTTTATGCTCCGCTTTTCATTTTGCCGATGATAGAATTGGCTGAAGCACTTTCTGCCCTTCTTCACTTACTCAATTCTCCGACCATTACTTTCCACCGCTCCATCCAAAAAGACTCGAGAAGGCTTTTCAAGAAAATTTGCCAGTGAGGGAGAACTGGGAATCCTGCTCAGTCCTCCATATTGCAAGTTTGCAAGGTTTACAGCCATTTACAAATTTTAACGAGGAAACTCCAAAACTCCAAAAATTCTTCTTGGAGACTTATCTGAGCTTGGTTTCCTTTTAGGAGAAAGAAGTTAAAATAAACAGATGCTGCTGCTCTCTCGAGTTTCTTCATCTCATTTAAATTCATCGGCACAAAAACAGCAGAGTTCTTTGCAATTCTTTCAGAGCTCTCGACTAAGCTGACTTTCACCAAGTTAGCCGGGTGTGTTTCACTGTGAAGTGTTGCATAAGGAGGATTTCCTTAATTTAACCAAGCAAGAATAACTTGCGGATGGGTATTTTTGTCGCCGACATAAAACATATGTAATGACCGGCGATTTTCTCTGGGAGGATGCAAATCATAAATTTACTTTTTTCCACGTTTTTTTTACGGTTTAGAATGAATGCTCCTTGACGAGTCGATTTTTAAATTATCACAATAGTATCACAATCGTTCAAATATTCTTAAAAATTAATGCTATGTAATTATTTTCTCAAAAATTATATTACAAATTCGCCCCATCAATTATGACAATTTTAGTATACACAGCCGTAGATTTAATAAATATTCAGTATTTAATAAAAATTTGAGATTATAAATATTTTTGTTTATCCTTCTTATTCCGGTTGAATGGGCCCACGCGAATTTGCAAACACGTAAATATTTATATGCCGTGTGCAGTCTTAATATTTCATTTGTGCAACAAGCTTGTTCGGACAAAGAGAGCACGCTGTCAGTCTGAGATTTGTGATCAAAATTCATTTGTCTGAAAATATCTCACAATAGGAGTCGGAGATGGATTTTGGCAATCCGGAACTGAGGAGAGGCTTGATTGACGTACTCATATATTTCACCGCTCTTTGTCCCCCAGTCGTCGTCGAAGGAGCGGTGGTAAACACGTTCCGCAACTGCTTTCTCTTATGCAACACCTTAATATCGCCAGTCAGAGACACCTGATAGCCGACAAGACAACAAAATTATCTCCTTTCTTTCATCTTACATAACACGGTACACAGATATTTTTCTGTTCTTTGTCTCCTTTTCTCTTCGGAATTGAGTTGAGATTGAACACAGATGTAAAAAAAGTTGGGACCACCAAAACTCAACGACTTTCCTCCCCTCTTTCACACTATAAACTCTTTCGTCACCATTGCCGAGTTTGAGAGAGAAGATGAAAAAGCTTGGGCTATATACGCGGAACATGAAATGGCATTTCAAAGAATCCATTTTATTGCCAAAATCGTACATTGCGCGACATTGGTGTGTGCCATTGTTGGTCGTCATTTTATGAGCATAAGCCTAGATCTCCTCCTCACGTGTGTGCTCTCGTTATAGTTGCTCCAACAATACACGTGGAAATGAGGTTGGAATAAAAAGTATCGGATGTGTACTTTTTCTCTGCGTGTGTGTGTATGTGAAGGACAGAGGGACTGCATAAACTGAAATGAGAACAGTGTGAATTTGAAATCAAATCTCCTTTCATTCCTGTGCTCCTAATATTTTTCACATTGTATAGCAGTAAAAATTTTATGGAGTATTTTCTCTCAGCCAATTTAGGATGACAGCTGAAACGAATAAATAATGCAATTTATGTAACACTAGAAAAAAACGACAGACGCGGTGTTACATATGATTCGCTTTTAACTGGAAACCGGGTGATATCAAGAAATGTTATGAAGAAGGGCATGCGAAGTAATCGTGGGTAGGAAAAAGTAGTCTGCTGCATTATCTCGCCAATTTTGTGCTTGGCAGGCATCCCATCCCCTGCAGTTTGCTAAGTAAATAAACACATACTTTTAAAACACATTTACTGTTGACTGATTGTAGGAGCGAATCTCACCAGCTCACGCAATTCTGCTTTTCCAATTACTCACTTTCACTGCCGAAACTGGATTCTAAAGCATATCGCTCCTATTACAAACGGCAAATCGGAAAGCTTTGCTTACACTGTAGATCGAATTCCATGCTGGTGTTGTCCAGACCCACTTTCCCCGGCGAGACTGCATACATAGCGAGATACATATACACAAGGTTATTATTCTATGTATGTATGGACGCGGTCTCATTTACTTCATTACACCAGCTAATTCGCCGAAGCTCGAAATATGCAAAACACACGAGGAATTTTTGGTGGTAGACCAGGTTAAGTTGCATTTCCAAATTAACTTTGGCAGACCTTGCCGGGTGAAAGTAAAGAATGTGCATGGAGTCATTTGCTCAGTGAAAAAGGTAATTTCGACTCATCTCATTCCCATCATTGGTTCACAGAAGGGTGGAATGTCTTATCAAATAAGCTTCAGTTTGATGCTAATGCTTATGCTAACGATAAGTGTCGCGTACAAAAGGGAAAAGAATGGATGCAAAGTCTGTGTGAATGTCGTCGTCGTCGTCGTCGTAGCGGGAGCAGAAATGCCGTCAGAAGAGCAAGACTTTATTGTTGGCAGCCTTCTATGGACATATAATAGTGATATAGAGAAACTGTGCTCTGATGTCAATATATTCACTCTCACTCCTTCCTCCGCTCCTGGGATTCTTCACGAAAGCAATAAAAAAGTGCCAAGGTGTCGGGATTCTCATTTAATGTCTGGAGAAAGTGTGGAGT